TCTCTATCTATCTATCTATCTATCTCTCTTTCTCTCGCTCTCTCTCCCCCCTCTCTCTCTCTCTCTCTCTCTCTCTCTCTCTCTCTCTCTCTTCCGACAAAGCTTGTTTTCTGAGCTTCGAACACTTAAACAACTTGCCCACGATAGTAATCAACCCATAACTCATACTTTCATTCTACCTCTATCTGCAGAGATGGCCGGAAGCAGAACTGACCATTGCCCCAGCAGACGGCCACAGTGAGGTGGAGCCTGGTATCAGGACTCGTCTGCTGGACGCTACAGACAAATACAAAAAATTACTGGCGCAAGGACAACAGAAAACTATAATGCTGTAGGTGTGGGCATTGCTTGAAGATTGGGAAACGAAACCAAACGAGTCTAGAGTCTTTCTGGTTTTTGTATATTATTCTTTTTTAAATATTTTTAAAGTATGCTTTTAGCTCGCTTGTAAAATTTTGTTCCATTTAAGATAAAATTAATACAAAGGTTACAGTGGCAAAGCTGTAAAATAGACAAGATATAATGAGGTAAGTGTGCCTTGGAGAGTAAGTATGAAATAATAAAAGGCTTGGTATACTTAAAGAATATATATGGCATCAATTGAAAATCTACAAATTTGACCCTAGTGTCGGGTTTTGGCTAATACCTCCATTTGTGGATCGTGAGAAGTAACTCATTTTGTCAGCACGCCTCACAAATATCAGCAAAACAAACTGAGACTGGAGTTTGTTGGGGGGGGGGGTATATTATTTTGATTTTTTGAAAGGTATGAGTTTAGTTTGTTAAGTTGTGCTTCATTTGGTTACAGATAATTGTAAAACGTTATAGGCACAGGGACACTGGAGACCTAATGCTGTAGGCGTGGGCGTGGTTTGTAGAGTGGAAACCAAAGTGAGACTAGAGCCTTGCTGGTTTTTGTATATCCTCCTTTTTGTAAAGGACGTTTTTAGCTCGTTTGTTAATAATTTTGTTCCGTTTCCTTACGGATAGATATTATGAAAATATGACCTGCACGAGAATAATAGTAAACTGTTTCAGTAGGTATGGGTGATTTCTCGACAGCGAGAAAAAAAATAAACATTCATAATATGTATCTTTTTTCTTTTGGTTTGTTATTCTTGGAAATGGTATACATAATGAGTACATAAACAAAAGCTCTGTGGACCAAGTATACACACACACACACACACACACACACACACACACACACACACACACACACACACACACACACACACACACACACACACACACACACACACACACACACACATATATATATATATATATATATATAAATATATTATATATATATATATATACACACACACACACACACACACATATATATATATATATATATATATATATATATATATATATATATATATAAAACTCATAATTATTTACTCATACATATAACCCTACACAAACGCAGACACAGAAATGTTTCCACCTAAATTCACGAGTTCAGTAAAATAACAACATTCTTACAAAGCAATCACCCCCAACCCCACATTCCCTGGTCCACCAACGCCACCCCCTTTCTTTCCTCACATTTCACGATCACTCGCAGTTGTTCGAAACCCAAACTGAACATCCGGCAAACTGGTTCATTTCTCAACAGAGGAGCCTTGTAGTACACGCTGGCCCTTCCCACACCCTTACCCAACACTTAATAAACAAATTATGGTTGTCTGGGACATCAAAAGTAAATTGAGGCATTTTGAACACGTAATTTGGAAGTTGTTTTTTTTTACGGCGCTCGCAACTGCATAAGGTCATTATATGAGCGCGCGGGACACTTTAAACTTTTTCAGTTTGGTAGGAAACTTTGAATTTTGTCCGGGTGGCAGCCGAAGCCTACTCTTGTCGATTTGAGACCACCAAGAGATCTTTTACGTGCGCAACTTGCAAACGGGACCTCCGAGATTTTTGTTATTGTCCGAGAAGGCTAGGAGTAGATCTTTTCTATCAGAAGATCAGGGGTGTGGCTGAAAGACATCAATAAGAAGGAGCCAAGGAGTAGCAGTAGAAAGGCTGGAGAAAGAGTCAGGAGCTCATAGGAGAGGACAAAGAAGGTGACGGGGTCGGTGCAGAAAGAGGAGACAAAAGCAGACGACAGAACACTGTTGTAAAGCAGGAAATGACGTGAAAGGAGAACATTTTAGAGAAGAAAATTGTTCCTTACGTCACTGCCCGGATTCGAACTCGGGACCTTTGAATGAGGGTTGAACACCTTAACCTCTAGGCCACGAGAGCCCCCCCCCCCTCCCACACCCACTTTATTAACAAATGATTGTCTTGGAGCGACCATTGAATGAGGGGTGAACACCTTAACCTCTAGGCCACGAGAGCCCCCCCCCCCCCCCACTTTATAAACAAACAATTGTCTTGGAGATAACAAGTAAACTGAGGCATTTTCAGCACGACATGTGGACGATTTAGTTTAAATAAGTGTTTTATGTCACTTGCAGCACAATTAGGACATGTAAGTTTCGAGAGTGCAGAGCGATAATAACAGGTGTTACAAGAGAGGGGAGGACTTCCGTAACGAGCGACCACTATGACAGGGAGCAAAATTGAAGGGTAGGGGTAGGGGTAGATCTAGGGGTAGGGGTAGGGTAGGGGTAGGGGTAGGGTTAGGGTTAGGGTTAGGGTTAACAAACACAATGAAGAAAGATTTAATAAGGACGGTAGATGTTTGACAGGAAAGAAAGAGCTAACCAAACCAGAGCAATCGCCAACCATCCGTTGATGCGGACAGGTCTCACAGCCAAGTAAGCAGAATCAACTTATTCGTATGTCAATAATACCATTGTTCGGACAAAACGAAACAAACTATTTCAATTTCAAAAAATTTCCCTATCTTCAGTTGAACCATTTCTCCTACATTTCCCAGAGTGCAGAGAGGTTGGAGGGCACTACTACTACTAATAGGTCCTACTTCTTTACTTTCCCTATACTATACTTTTACTTTACTTTTCCGATCCAGCGGCCATTTGGGTTCTAGCCTTTCGGTCTGACTTTCCCTATAGATGTTGATTCTTTCTATCTGTCTTACTCTCTTCCCACTGCTAAGTGACCATTATAATGTCGATGGGTTTCTTTTTACTAAAACTTTAAAAAGGACCACTCCCGCCCCCCCCCTTCCAACAAAAAGTGGGCTGCATGATTAAAACAAATTCGTTACGAACAAACGGGTGTTCCCCAAATTCAAAAAAGCCCCCCAAAACCGATTCAGATGGAAACCGATTGCTGGCCCAGCTCCACCTAACACCTGACTTGCTAATTCTCCTATCAGCATGTGACGAAACAACGATACATCACGGAGTTAATGACACAGGAGTTCTGTGGGCCTGCAAGACTCGTAGCTCATCATGGGCCCTTCTGTCCGAGTGGTTACTGAACCCAGGCTCACGATAATTTCCGCCTGAATTAGGTCGGTGACATTGTGTTAAAGTACATCACGTCAGCAGCCAACAACCAAAAGAGATTGATTTGGTGTCCATGACCGATCATCATCATCATCATCATCATCATTATCAACAACAACAACAGCAACGAAAAAGACCATCTACATGAACTCTATAGATTAGATGTACTTCCAAGTACATACTTTAGCGTATAAAATGCTAAATATTGCATAAACGTCGTAAATTATAGTGTGGGAATAAGGGAATCAACCAGTTTAAATGCAGGGGTACTACTTGTTCATTTTTCTCAAGACTGTTGTTTTCTTAGTGCGTGGGGGTCACCAACACAGAGGTGTTTCTGAAAGTAGGGCCTACAAGTCGGAACTCCATCATACTTTGCACGAATGTTTCTAAATGTTATGTCTGCAACATACTTAACAATTATTGTGATAGTATGATCCGTTTTTGTTAGTCAGAAAAAAGTTGAAGATTTCTGATTTGTAACCATGTTATTAATTGTCTCGGCATCATATTGTATGACATTAAACGAGCAGACACAAGAACAGTCTAAAACGAAGGAAAATAACATTACGGGGGAGGGGGGGGGGTTCAGAAGTCCTTGATCTAAGTATGAAGGAATAAAGACAGAGCTTTGGGACTTGGCACAAATACTTCTATTTCTCTATGTAGTCCCCATGCAGAGTAATACATTTCTGCCACCTCTCTTTTACTTTCAAATGTCCTTGAGAAAAAATGACCCAGCCAGAATGAGCCCCTGACCAGTCTTCAACACCTTTAAAGGCATCCTTGTTGTCATGGACATTACGTCCTTTGAGTGATTTTTCACGATTAGAAAACAGAAAAAAGTCTGACGGGGGTTCTTCTTCTTCTTCCTCTTCTTCTTCTTCTTCTTCTATCCCGTGGTTGTGGCAACCGTTGGGGCACCACTGCATTGGAAAACCAGCTCTCGCCATCTATTTTTGTCATCTGCTCTCCTCAGATTGTCACCCATCGTCTTTCCTGTCCACTCTGTAATGTTGTCCTCATATCTCCCTCTCTGCCCTCCTCTCTTTCTCTTTCCTTGTACGGTTCCTTGCAGGATTGTTTTGGCAAGTCCTGTGGATCTTGTTACATGCCCATACCCTTTTAGTTTTCGTCTCTTCACTGTGGTCAGTAGATCTTCACATTGCCCTACTGCGTTGGTGATTCTCTTCCGTAGGGGGTTAGGTCTGGTCAATAAGCTAGATTTCAAAGCTGCACTGTTCTGCTGTCTGGGCTGCTTGTTGTGCGCTGTGGGCAAGGGCGTTGTCAAGCAGTAGGAGGACCCCATTACGGAGTTTTCCACGCCTTTTTCTCACCAATTCAGACCGTAATTTTATCAGCAAACCCGCGTAGTAGTCACCTGTAACTGTTGTTCCATTTTCCAAGTTGTCAGTCATGATGATACCGTCACAATCTCAGAGACATGATAGCATGACCTTTCAACGAGACGGTGTTACCTTTGCCTTCTTTGGTGAGGGAGAAGGCGTTCTCCAGTGCATGGAGGACATTTTGTATTCTGTATCAAAATGATTCACCCATGTTTCATCCATAGTCACCATGTCTTTAAAGAAATTTGTGTCATTGACTCAATTCGAATGAGAGTTTTGGGGGACTCAACCCTCTGCTTCTTTTGCTCACTTGTCAAAAGGCGGGGTACCCTCAGCGCAGACACCTTATTCAGGTTAAGATGATTCTTGAGAATCGTTTCAATTGACACTACAAGGATTCTCGTTTCACTTGAGAGCTGTTTAACTGTTATACGTTGGTCTTTAGGAACCAGTTTCTTCACTATGAATACGTTCTCTTCAGTTACTACAAAGGATGAGTACCCTTCTCGATCTTCATCCATTATCAACCTGAATCCAGATTGGAATTTTCTTTCCCAGTATGTCACAGTATTATAAACAGGAACGTTTGTCATAAACTTGAACCATTTCTTGAAAACTATTTGAAGGGGATTTTCCTCGCAAGTGTAAAAACTTGATAGCTTAGCGATATTCAACAGGCTCCTTGGCACAGCTTCAGCAAAGAAACATATTTGTTTTTGTGTATGGTTTCATTGAACACGAAGACTAGTGCCTTGTTATTGTCATATATTCCGGAACATTTGCTCGGTGTGTTCCTTCAAACCCAGATTAAAGACTTATTGAAACTCCCTCGTATTAGAGTCGTATTTTCAGAAACACAGCATGAAAATATCTAGTCTATATACATAAATACAATCTTGTTCATAATCATAAAATCCTGGTGACTTTGGGCGTATCTCTGTCTGTTGAACCCATTTCATTTCATGATTTCAAAAAAATTGTCAGTGAAATCTTACACGGATGGAATTTTCTGTTTCTTGACCCACATTGGTTACAAATAAGTTACAGTGGTTATTACGAATCACAATACATGTATTACAATGCTAATATTATATTCATTTTAGAGCGTACTATAAAAATATCCCTTGCTGTACCGAGTGAAGTTGTAACAGAGAGAGTTTACAGTAATACTGTTAATAAATTCTCTGGTTGTAACCGAGGAGTGTGCCCGGGCAATAGTAGATTATTACTGTACTATTATTACCCAAGCTGAAAAGCTGGACGCCGTGCAGTGAGAACCAGTAATAAGTGATATCGGGTCGGCTGCA